ATACACTGTTCAGCATCCAGCAGCGATTTTACTCTTGTTTTGGTTATTGGCTATACAGTATTCATCCCAACTCTCTCCTCTTTGGACTACTAGCTACTTGCCATCTTTATCTTTGTTTGTTTGTTTGTTTGTTTTTGTTTTTGTTTTGGTGTGTGTGTGTGTGTGTGTGTGTTATAGATTTTCCTCACAACAGCCCTAATTCCAGCCAGATGAATAGATTCAGAATCAAAGCATTCCTCACAACAGCCCTAATTCCAGCCAGATAAATAGATTCAGAATCAAAGCAGTCTTTGTCCCCTGTGTGTTTGTGTGTGTTTGTGTGTGTGTGTGTGTGTGTGTGTGTGTGTGTGTGTGTGTGTGTGNTGTGTGTGTGTGTGTGTGTGTGTGTGTGTGAGGAATGCTGAAGTCTCTTTTCAGCTATGTAATGCAAAATTTCTCTTTTTTCCCACCCTTTTGTTACTTCTGCTGTTTGTTTGTTTTTCCGACTTTTTTGGCATTTTTTTGGTATTCTGTGCCCTGCCGTGATTTTTCTGTCGCTCTGGATATTTGCCATTTGAACCACCAGTACTTGGCCCAGCTATCAAAGCCGAGCCTCCCAGCACCCTGCGCGCCAAGTCCTACCGAACCGCCGTTGCTTCTTTTCGTTTTCGTTATGGTCGTGGCCTCCAGCCAATGCGGTCCGGTAGGCCGAAGCCCGAATGACGCAGCGCGTTAACGGGGAAGCGCAGTGGCCAATAGCTGGACCAAGCACTGGTGGTTTAATAACATTCATGGTGTCCAGCAGAGATTTCTCTTTCGTTTTGGCTATTGGCTATTAGCTATTAGCTATTGGTGATTCTTTAGCAATCATTATCCTGCACTGACTCTCTGTTGCTCTGTATACTGGCTGTTCAATAGCATTCACAGAAGAGATGGTTGGCCAGTTGGTGTTCCTGCCACACGCAACAGCTCTCTGACAATTGGCTCCTACTATATCATTGGCCCACGTCACATATGAAACTAGAAAAGCTAGCACACACCTTTTTTTCCCTTTGTTTCTTTCTTTTTAAGACACCGGTACTCGGCCCATACATCGGCCGCGGGGGCTTCTCACTGTGGCTTTCGGAGGCTGTACATGCGGAAATAATGGAGGTGAGGCCCCGGAAGTTGTGGCGCATATATGAAAAGTGGCCGCGGCCGATGTACGGGCCACGTACTGGTGGCTTGACAGAACTGACCCGACAAGTCATTCTTCAAACCAAGAACTGACCCCACAGTGTCACCAGTGTCACACACACAAAAAAATTCAAAAAAAGAAGAAAAAACACAATTTTTAGCATCATGACTCGTGACCAGTTGGCAAATGTCGACACAGGCCTTCACTCGGTACCGCTCATAAAATCCCCCATCTAGTGGAATGACAGATTCAGCAATCACACTGAAAATCTCCCGTACAATGGAACGACCTTGGGCTTCACAGGAGTGCAGACCATCCGCCAGCTAGGCATTTTACTGGTTCAGTGTGCCTATGTAAAACTTGTTTTGAACCTTTGTCTTGAGCCTCTCCTAAAATTTCGAAGGCTCAGGACAGGGCTCCTGAAGGGAGGACAGGGAATTTTTTTTTCCCCCGTGCCTTAAATGAAACCAGGCGCAGCACTGAACAAAAGAAAAATTATACCCAACCCCAGGCAAGCCCCCAAGTCCCCGAACATTTCAAAGAGGCTCATTTGTGATTAGTCGCTCAGCAGCGCAGGAACGATGCTGTATGTATCTCTATACCCGAGTTGCAAGCGAGTTGCCTTTCTTCAGTGCGCTCGGCAACATGAGGACTATGTTGTAAATTGGAGTTTCAATGCACTTACATGGAAGCTCTGCCCCAGTTCTGCTAGTGTTACCATTCACTGTGATGATGTCAGTTACATGTCCTTCATGCAGTTTGGGAGAAGAAAAAAAACAAAAAACATCCCCCCCCCACCTCTCCCAAAAAAAAAAAAAAAAAAAAAAAAAAAAAAAAAAACAAAAAAATGCAATAACATGTCAAGATTCACAAGAATGGCTGGCCGCGCCTATGTTGGGATAAAAAAAAAAAAAAATTATGCCTCCCCCCCCCCCCCCCCAAAAAAAAAAAAAAAAAAAAAAAACCAGCCCCTTCTATTCTGGGGGGCATCAGTCCGGTTGGTTGTTGCCGGCAAGCATGTGTCACAACCATTGAGGGAGAAAAGACAAGAGAAGAGAAAAGAACAGCCATTCCACATACGCAAGGGACATGCCCATGCATCGGTGAATCGAGGGAGATGAGAATAAGGGCCTACTCACACTAGAGTGACTAGAGGCTTTTTGGGCAACATTATTCAAAAGTAGCAAAATGTGCTTTATTTTTGCAGTCGCACTTCGCCCACCCGCTCATCGAGTTCGCAATTGGTTGTGGCAAATGTCAGCGGCCTGCAGGGCCGTGGGGGGTTGAGCAATTTGCCACCGCCTCTAGCGGTGTTGACATTTTTTCTTTTTTTCCGAATCTGTGAGCTCACAGAAGAGAATTGCAGGCATCCATCGACTATGTGACCACACAAGTGGGCAATTTCGCAAATGGCACGAAGTCGAGGCACTGTCTTTTCCTATTTGCTACCCCTCTGTGACTGCCAGAAATAAGGCTTGGACTCCTGGGATGTTCTGCAGGATCTGGCTACGGTAGGGGCGCACATGCCCTGACACTGCATAGGTAAGCGTGTACCATAGAGCAGGCTACCATCTTCACCTGCATAGAACACCTCGTCATTATACGTGTATTTGGTGCAGCTTTCAGTCCAGATGCAGCGATAATGGCTGGACGTTCTACTCGGGTGAAGAAGGTAGGTAGGAGTGAGTGGCGCTGTGGCAAGCAGACAACAGGCACACCTTAGGAGATCACAGCCAAGTGGCGATGTAGGAGAAAGGCTGTGATATTGAGCTATGAAGGTTTGGGGAAGATGGTTGGTGAACTGATGCGAGCTGGGACGTAGGCGTTCCCGAATATCAGCATCATGTCTTGGAGACTTGGATTTCAACCGTAACCGCCAGTACACGGGCCCAGCCTTGCAGAGATTCCTTTTCCATCGTCTACGAAAAATTTGGAGGCTCGGGGCCAGCCAAGAGAGAAAAGAAGTGTGCTGCTGGCGGTTCGGAAAGCTTGGCGCGCGGTGGGGCGCCACCAGGGCCGGGTGTACTGGTGGTTTAAACTGCTTGGCAATAGGGAGGCTGGCGAAAATGGCGAACGCCGACTTCACAGTCCCTTCTGGTTGTCCGCCTTTGCATGAGCCTTCCTTCACACAAGTGCAAATTATGGTTGGTTGTTGCAGTTCATGTACGGCCACATGCACGCATTTGTGCACAGAGTTCATTCGCTGGCTAACCGTAACAGGTCAACTCTAATGACGTATATAACTCTAGGTTACCTGGTCCGCTGGACGATCCGGCGGGCTGGAAACCATCCCCATAAATTTGTTTTTCACTTTTCTAGTTTCTGTTGGTGTGTGCATCTCCTCGTCAAATGTGTATGCAATGTGCATGCAACAACTGACCCATGCTTCTGTTGCAATCGGCCCATCCGCAGATTCTCCGTGGCTTTGTTCCTATGGTAGTATCGTTAAACTGCCCGTTAATTGCTCTGGCAGACTTGAGAATTGAAATCGAGTCCATCCGCAGATTCTCAGCGAATTTTGTGTTACCGGACAAAAATGGATGACGGCACCGGCCCAAAAAGAAAAGAAGTGAGTCGCTGGCGGTTTGGCTAAGCCTGGCACGCAGTGGAGATCGACCGCTGCAAAAAGAGGCTCAAATGTATTGGCAGTTTTAAGGGGTTGCAGCACTTGGTTCATGTTATAGGAAGGCGACTCATTTTGCCACGAGCCACACAGACAGCCACATACACACATACCAGACAAGCCACCGCAGCGCCGGTCCGCACAGGTGCCATCAGAAAATGGCAGTTTTCACAACCAGCGTAGGTCCGGAGAAAGATAGGCGTTGGTTTCATGCATGAGATCTGTGTGGCATTAAAAGTTCGTGCTCAACACTTGATGCAGATGTGTGCCAAGTTCGTGCTCAACACTTGGTACAGAGGTGGGCATTAAAACCAACATTTGGGCCCCAAGTCCGGGCCCCAAGTTCATGCCTCATCATGGGTGTGGCTATATGTTCCATGCAGCTGACGATCACACAGAAATGTCAAAGCGATCCAACTACCGCAAGAAAGACCAACTCATCTGAGCACCACCCTGCCCTTTCTCTTTTCAAACAACTGACAAGTTAGTGTGGCATGAACAACCCAACGTTGACACGAACATTGAACGCCCCACGGGTGACTGTGGTTTGATAAACAATCGAAATCATACGACAAAAGAAACACGAGGAGTTTGAGAACACGTCCACTTCCAAAGCACACTCAAAACCTACTGTCTTCCCCCAAATAGAATGTATGGTCATTATCACAGTATTTAGACTAATAGTTGCCCTAAATACAGGCATAATGACTGTACTCTCTATTGGGATGAAGACGTTAGAAACTGACATCAGGAAGGACATTGCTTGGCAATGCTTGCGGACCACAGAAAGGAGAGGTTCAATGTGCCAAAATGCAGTTCATAACTCAAAAGAGTCAAAACTCCAAAACACTAACGACTGAACTGCCAGTCTTTATAAATAGAATCTTTATAATGGCGATTAGACTGGGTGAGGTCCTCTGCAAACTGTGAATTAATAATTATTATTATTATTTATTTTTTAAGCTTCAAACTGGCTTCGTCTTCTGCTAAAGGGGAAAATTGCCGAAGGCCCATAAGGGCTCAGCAGCATCCTTCCTTTTTTTTTTTTTTTTTAATCTCAACTACCAATCTGTTTATCCACCAGCATGTGAGGGAACCACGCAGCAATGGCACAGGAGTCCCCTTCATGGACAGAGCCATCCAAAGACAATGTCATTTCTGATCTCATATGTGAAGAAGGTAAGTACTGGTACTCAAATTTATTTATTTATTTAAATTTAAAATTTAAAAGGCAATTTGTTGTTTAGCTTTACTGTGGAGCACATACAGGAACGACAAGCCACCGCACAAATCACACAATACCAAAAGAACAAGCCGCCAGCAGAATATCAATTCTCTTTTCATCAATCAGGTCACCAGAAGCGACAGCATCTACAGATTCTACACCCTCAAAAACTCAGCTCACAAAATGCTTAAACCAACAGGTAGGACACCCTGACCTTTTTGCTGCAAATTGTTTCTCCAGGCGCTGAACGAGCAGTCAAACTCAGGAACATTCTTTGAAGAGTCTGAAGCTCGACGAAAATCCTCCAGCTCCTCCGCCGGCCCCCGGCCCCCTGTCCTTCCCNCCCCCCCCCCCCTCCCCCCTCCTTACCCTCACCTGCCTATGCTGTGTCTCCTCCCCACAAGCGGCCATTGAAGCCTAGCACTTGGTTTTTCCATTTCGATTGAGAAGAAACCTTTCGCACCCTGATCACTTGACTTAGAATTGGAAATCTGTCATCTCAAGGAGCAGTGTCATGCACCAAAAAGGCCAGTAGGAATCCAGGGGCCCTTCTCCACCCCTCCGTCCCCCCCCCTCCCCCGCTCCCCCCCCAACCCCCCATGTGTGAAACTGTCACATAACTCACTTACGGGGCCCGAGTTAGAACACTCAAGGGACCAGAATGTGGCCAAACTACGACCCATAATAGAATATATTATATATCGTCAAACAGAGCTGCCCGGAAAACTGTAGGCAGAGAGTCCAGGGGATTTCAAAGGCCAGCGGCATCAATCGGACTGGCAGCACTCCCCTGGTTTTAGTGGTTCCAATCTGCAAGAATTACATGCAGAATTACATGCCCAAATTTATGGTTAGCAGTGTCAAGCAGGTCACCTGCCTTTACAGAGAGTACAGAAATAAATCCTCTGAGTTCGCAGCGGAAGCAATAACAGATGCACACACACGCAAAAAAAAAAAAAAAGAAGAAGAACAAGAAAAAAGGCAAACGGAAAACAAACCCAAACAGAGGAGCGAGAAAAGGCAAACCTTCGCCACAATTGTGAAAAAAGACAGAATACGTCTCACAAATGGGCACGGATGCGCACAGCACCTCTCTATTATACTGTTGAAGAAACACATAATTAGAACTAATTCTACCTAAAGCTTGGTAAAGCAACCAGAACTAGAGATGGATGTTCGACACAAACCCTTCCACTCACAATGACCTACCACTTGACAAACAAATGCATCGAGTGGTCCTGCGATTGCAGGACCACATCAAGGTCGCGCAATGGAGTATTACCTTTGAAAATAAAACAAAGGAGCACTCCGGGACACTTTCTTTACAAGCACGAGCACCAAACCTGTCCATGTAAACCTGTTACTTTCACACCTTCATCTCATCCAAGATGCCCCCC